ATATACACTTTAGATTTCTTTTTAAATAGCATCTGTTCTCAAATAAATTTTAAGCTGATAATGATAATACTTTGAAACTAACATATCATAACTAAAGAGTAGCCAGTCTATTCCATTTGTAATCCTCTCGCACTTGCTTCCATCTGTATAAAACTAGTTGTTATAAATGCTAACCTTCCGAAAAAACAATTTAATTCTGACTTCCAAATGCAGATTGTTGTATAATTACGCAGTTTCTGGAAGCAGCTTCTACTCCATTCGAGCCTCTGCTGATCTTTTCACCATTTGCATTTGGTATGGAATACTGGCCTCGCCCATTGACCACCCCAATGTCGAGAGACTTAATTTCTTGTCTCACTCTTTCTTCATTCGGAAACAGAACTCCGTGATCTTTTAGCAAGGTAAAAAACCATTTCAGTGCCACTGCTACTCCATTAAGTCTTACTCCACTTGAGCTTGACTTAAATGTCACTTTTGGATTTACCCAGTGAGCAACTAGAAATGAGAAATGTCACAATTACTTTATGAATTTGGTCTATGGGCTATGAATTTATTACATACGTTTTTGCAAGATATTTTGTGCTCTATTGACTTCATTATAAAGTCCACAATAATTAGCTGTTCTGTTTGAAGCATTGCATGAGACACTTGCGCTTGGTTGGTCTGGAATCGCTTAATCCACACTGGCAGGATTGTTTGTTTGAAAAAAGCGATGGCATTGCTTGGATAGAGATCATCAATACTTGCCAGCCGTATTAGCTATGTTAAAATTGTGCAAGTGGTCATTGGCTATTAGTCAATTCTTAGTGTTATGTTGTTAATAAGGCAGTTATCTTCTCAGCAAATGCTACCAAAAGTGCATGATTTCTTAAACAGCGGTCGTCGATGTTCGGTGCTTCAATGGTAAATTGTTGACAGAGCTCATTAGTTCTCGTTATGCAGAGGTATTCGACAGATCTGCTAATTGCCACGATGGTCCCAAAATCACTAGATCCTCTTCCCATTATTGTATTGTTATGGAATTCTGCGTTGTGTTGATTCTCGATTCTGAGAGGACTTCTTGCTCCTTCTTGAAAGGGAATTAGGACAAGCCTTCCATGTACTCTAAAGCACGTGTAAAATTACATTAGTGCACTAAAAAGCAAACCTCTTCCATAAATACGGAAAAATTCTACCTAGGGTAATTGTTCAATCCCTTTAAAGTGTCCCAATTGACTGTGAACATCGGAATCGTTCGAGGAGCTGGCTCGAAAACACATTTCCCGTCTTTGCCACTGTTGTAGAAAGAGACCGCAACAATTTCAATAACTGTGGGGCTCTTAACGTCGTCGAGCACGGGAGGCAAAGTTGATCTGCTGCATAGCCTAGGGATGAATCTTTCCCTTACTGCCGAAAAGAAGTTTGATCCATTTCCTACAAGACTTAGTGCGGCTTTTAAAGATTTTGTCTTTCCAAGTCTGTTTGTTCCACATACAAAGGCAGGGGACAAAATCTCAGAATATCCACAATCATTTCATAATGAAAGCCTTATGACATTGCAGCTATTTTGAAAGAAAAACTATTTAAATCAATGATCAAGTTTCGCCTGCTCTTCATATTGTTTCATTCAAGTGAATATTGTAGCTACATATAAAATTCACTATTTAACTACATCAAAACTTAAATAAGCAACAGGTCTACAAATTACTATTATTCTTTTCATGCTAAAATGGGTTCAACATAAATGTGACAAATGTATTTTTACATGAAAAACGTCAACAATTATGTAATAAACGGGCGTCACTTGCCACACTATTGAACATATTGTAATGACCTTACCAATTGACACTTGCCACACTATTGAACATATTGTAATGATCTTACCAATATAGCAGCGATACCATTATGATGCAATATGGATATCAGAGAGTTCACCATTTCACCGAATGTTAAGGAACATAAAGGCAGGTTTACTTTAGGCCAATGAGATGCAGTTCTTTTCGATTCCAAGATTGGCTTGACCCATATAATGCTGGTCTCTTCTGCAGTAACGACGACACCATCACCGTTCAATTGCAGGTTTTCAACCAAAACCCAAACGTCTGAATTTGGTTGTCTACCAATGCAGCAAACAGCTTCGTAGGTGTCTCTCACTTCATTGATTCGGTATTTCCTGGAAGCGTTATTTTGTTAAAAGTTCAGGGTTTAAATTGTTCATTGATGTCAATTTTATTCATTAAGTAGCTAGAAGTTACTTCGCCTTAAAAAATGGTTATTTCATCTCAACATGAAAGAGTTATCACGGTTGTGTATCAAATAGACGGGGATAGTTTAGTTGTTGAACAAATAGATGTGTGTAAGAATGAGTTTTTTTACAAATCTAGTGCACAAATAAAACACTGGATGTGTGAATTTTCACAAGTTTAATATTTCAAATGCATGGCAATATTTCTTTCATGTTTTCCATGCATTTTTTAAAGATGGATCATGAATGTCTTTGCTGTTTCTCTAAAACATGAGTGCTCTTTGAAGAAATTTCTTCAAAGAAAAATGTTTCGCTTTTAACATTCCTTATGGCAGCAATGAGTTCTCACTTTTTTTGAACATGAAACGTCCATTAAGTGAAGTACATCCATTTGAATTTCCTTTATATTGGGCAAAATACAAAAGTGTCACATTTTGACGAAAAACATGCACCAGCTAATAAAAAACATAAGTAATGTGATGCAGTGTGACAACCAATCTCTTTGTAGCTACTTCAAGTTTTTATAAAATTTTCAGTCATCTTAACGTTTAAACTTTTATACTTAAGTGTTTTTTTCTCCTTAAAATGATGTTTTCCAGCCACAGTAACAAAGTTGAACAGTTTTTAAAGATGCATAATAATGCATCTTCCGTTATCTTGTCCATGTATTTATTGACAATTGTTCAATAATGAAAAGGCTCATAAAATATTCATATTTTTTATAGCTAGTACATGCTTTTCGTCAACATGTGACACTTTTGCACTATGACCAATATAAACGAAATTCACTTGATGGACGTTTAACACTCTCAGTGTAGAAGCATAAAAATACTTTCAGTGTTTTATTTGTATAAAACGCAAATAATGCTTACCATCAAAAACTGTAACAACGTGATATCAGTAATACAGATCAACAACATATCATTCTCTTACTGCCATTGTATACTTCATTAAGCGATTCAGAAAAACCGTTAAATGATACCCACGAATGACAATTATGTAAAACATTTTTCATTTGCAAAATCTACTTGCTATTTTAACATTAATTGATCAAGTGACTATTTTGTAACTTACGCGAGTGACAGCTGCCACTGGAGCAAAGTTGAATCAACGAAACAGACATCCGTAGCCTCGATCATTTTTCTTTGTTCGAGATATAACATTCAGCCATCTTTCCCATTACGGTTTTTGGAATATCCATAAAGCAAATTAGAGCGATTGCATCTAAGCGAAACTTTTACTCCATCGGTAGTTCCAGAAAGATCGTGTACCTGAACATTTGCACTTAATACATTTGGAGCATGGAGGTGTAAATACATGCAACTTCCTATCGGTTGTACTAGGAACTTTTAATTTAGAAGCGGACTGTAAAAGAACATTTCCATCTTGTTCTTCTAAATTGTGACATACCAAAACCAACAGTTCTTGAGGTACATTCACGGGGAGTACTAGCAAAGAAGACGCAACATTGGCAATAGAGCACACAAGTGACAAACCATATTTCAAAACAAGAACAAACAGAATTACATCAACATTTAGATCATTGCACACTTAAATCACACATCACAACTAAAAATAAAATATTTCACTTCACACTAACTCATAATGACAATACACATTTCCTGTACACACAATACAATGACGTAAGAACCAGATAACAAATACGGCTAACCTGACGTTTACTCCTCATTTCACTCTGAAGATGACTACCGCTAAGGTTTTCGAAACTTCAGTCAACAACAACAAAAACAGTCCTTCTCAGGACTTTATTAACCTGGACGATCATCATTTACAAACATATAACTATACTCCCGGGTTCAAACCATTTACTTTGTCATTTCTTATATTAAACTATTTTTGATTTCATTACGAAGGTATGATGTCATGTTATTGCAGTGGTTGGAAACAAGTGAAAAACCCAAAGTATCTTGCTGGAAAATTGGCGGCTGTGAAGACGCGGTGCACACTTGAGTAACACTTTTGTATATAATTGTTATTCTGTACTTTAGGCGTAACATTGGACATTTGTGAAAATAAATCAAAACTTTATTCTTAGTCTAGTGATTTACATAATTGGCTCTAAGGGTATATGGGAGATCGTGTGCCTAATGTAGACATAGAATTTGTTTGAAGAAAGGATCACTTGAATGACTACCTAGATATCATTTATATGTGTGGCATATTGGCCCATCATGACTAAACTTTCTTTGCCAATGGGTACGATTTGATGTGAGTCGAGACCAATTGTTCTTCGTATTATCATCATCATCATCATCATCATCAGCCTGTCACGCCACTGCTGGCGGATGGCCTCCACATCTTTCTCCACTCTTCACGGTCTTGGGCTCTCTGGATCCACATGGTGCCCGCTCTTCGTATTATAACACCTCTTTATTACATAATTCGTAATTTGATTTGACCTGGCAGCAAACTTCAATATTCTGTCAACTTGTATAATCTTTCTTACTAGAAAATTGTATTTTGCTTTGTTTACCTTTCAAAATAATTGTAAGCCCAAAACTCGGCTCAAAATAGTAGCGGTAAACTAGAAGTACTTCAAGTAAGATTGTCGCATAAGAACAAAAACGGGAACGATCTTCATCGTCAAAATTCTAAAAAACTGCGAGTTTGGGTGAGTGGGAACAGAGAAATGTACGGTGGCCCACAAGGGACATGCAACTTACATAAGTCTGTTGCTGCAAATTAAGTCAGTTGCTGCAAGTTAAGTCTGTTGCTGCAAGTTAAGTCTGTTGCTGCAAATTAAATCTGTTGCTGCAAATTAAGTCTGTTGCTGCAAGTTAAGTCTGTTGCTGCAAATTAAGTCTGCGCCTGCGATTTGCAATTGTCGTATGCTGCTGAATACATAATAAAAATGGCTGCTGAAGATAACGAAAACGCTTTAAGGACTTTAATAGAAAATTATTTTTATTCAGGATATAAATACAACGAAATAGTCTTACTTCTAGACAAGCATCATGCCGTAAAAATGTGTTGTAGAACTTTAAAAAGAAAACTCAGAGAATATGGTTTCAAAAAACGAAAAAATGATGATTGTATTGATGACGATAGGCTAAAAGAAACTATTCGTCAGCTAATAAATGATGCTGGAAGCTTGTCAGGATATCGAACAATCTGGCATACCCTGCGTCGTCGATTCCACGTACACGTTTCACGTAAAAAAGTGGCATTAATAATGAAGGAAATTGATCCACAAGGTGTCCAGCAAAGGAAAACTCACTGTCTCCAACGACGAGTATATCGATCATACGGTCCAAACTTTTGCTGGCACATGGACGGTAGGAAAATTGAAATTTACTAAAGTACAAAAGATGGCTACGTTGATTTATTTGGTTTGCCTGTTTTGATTGGTTATAAAACATAACATAATGTTTTATTTCATATTAATCACACCATTGCTAATTGTTACAGGCTATGACAAATTAAAGCCCTATGGATTCCCTATTCATGGGGCTATAGATGGTTACAGCCGACGGATAATTTGGCTTGAAGTGGTAAAATCCAACAACGACCCAAAAGTGCCTGCAAATCTTTTTCTTAAAAGTGTAAAAGAAAACCTCGGATGTCCACTTCTATTATGGAGTGACTGTGGCACAGAGAATGGATTGGCGGCTTCAATGCAATGTTATTTTAGAGATAATGGGACAGATGACTTGGCAGGAGAGAATGCTCATCGCTATGGTTCTTCTCACGCAAACCAGAGGATAGAAAATTGGTGGTCGTACTTTCGTCGTAGTCGAAGCAACTGGTGGATTAATTTTTTTAAAGGTCTAGTTCACGATGGGGTTGTTCTTCTTGGAAACTTAATTCACATGGAGTGCCTCTGGTTCTGTTTCCAATCTGTGCTACAAAATGAACTCAATGATATAATTGACCACTGGAACACTCACTATATCCGACGTTCGCGATATGATACTATACCTGGCGTGCCAAATCTTCTTTACTTTTTACCAGAATTAACTGGTGGAGCTGACTATATTGTCCAAGTGCCAACAGACAAAATTAACGAAATGGAGGAAGAATTTGAGATGGAAGAAGGACTAAATGACTACAAAGAGTATTTTGAACATGTAATGGAAATAAAAGGACTACGTCTTCCAAATAATGCAACTGAAGCATTAGCACTATTTCAATGCTTAGTAGAAGCTGCTAATGATAAGGATTAAATGTTAACGGGAAAATCGACAAAAAAAACATGAGTTTCACGTCATGGACAAACCAGGCACGACGTTTGACTTTTGCTGTAAATGTTGTTTACGTACACTAGAATGTAAGCGAATAACCATAACATCAACAAAACGATTTTGCAATGATCAAGTCAATTAAAGTATTAGTTTCAATTGTCAGATCTGCTTTTCAGATAAGTCCAAAATCACACGAATCCCCAATGGCAGAAACCATTAATTCTTCCATTTCACATTCCGAAGCTATATGAACAGGTAACTTCACCAGCAAGTCACATGTTGACGTATATGGTCTACATTTGCAGCAATCTTTGCAACCATGGATGAAAGCAACATTGAACTTATTGGGAAAACCTAACGGCGGTACTTCCTTGGAGCCACTGCACCATTGCAGGAAATCTGTCATAGTTAAATTTTGCAAACCTGAAATGCATTAACATTATTACCTCAGCGGCAAAAACATAGCTTATAACACACGCTGTAGATGTTGAAATAAAACTGCACCGCACATATAACAGTGCAACTTCATTTGTTAATGAGCTGATTGTTGAGTTGCAGAGTTTTGGTAATGAAAGCGTAGATCAATGCACTCCGAATTTGGTAAATTTTTGTCTTCAAAACATCGAAATGGATCTATAACATCACCATTAAACTTATTTTGTTATCCTTTAAACTTAGCAACTTCTGCACGGATGAAACATGCTGTAGAATATCTTATTTTTACTCTAGAATACAATTTATATGTGCACTATACATATTGTCTTCTTGCACTGTTTATGTAAGCCTTATTGTATAGAATTAATGTGCTTATATTAGTATCCTTACCATCTTCAAACTTTTGTATTACATCATTGAAGAATTTAAAGGTATCCACTTCCTTCATCTTCAAAGCTTGAGAGCTACTATATTGAGGTTGCAGATGGTCAAGAAACTCATCAGCAGTAAACTTGAAAATATCACTCGGCACAAACACTGCCTTCCATACATGTGGCTGTTTTCTTATCGCGTCAAGAAGATTACAGTTAGACAAGCCTTCTTGAAGTTGTTGCAGCTGGGCTACGCTGTTAGAGATTTGATCTTTTATACAAATAGATCTAGTGAAAAAGAACAAATCAAAAGCAATTAATGCATGTGAGCAGAGGCAAATAAAAAGGGGTTATTTTCCTCTAAGTGAGCAGCACACACTAAGCTAGCAACCCATTTATGCAAGAGTGGAGAGTAAACAATTTTGCAAAAATTCGTCATTTTAACTCCTGATGTAGTTATGACTATCATGCTATGATTATGTAGCAGGAGTGTTTGCCAGCAGCCACTCCCAGGGGTGTGTGAGAATGAAGGTTACTTTGATTTTTTACACGATGCCAATTGAAAGTATATTGATACATTAATACTAAGATGAAGTACATTTAAAAGCAATTTTAGATAAAAAAATATTAGCAGAATAAAAAAATTACACATACTGCACTATGTCTTTGGATGATTTGATGCTTTCTTTTTGAGGCACACCGGTGTATCCAACATTCTGCAAAACATCTAATATCTCATCTGCCAATATGGTTTCATGAAGTACATCATCTGTTATACAGGATGATAACTAAAATACAAAAAAGAGCAATTTAAACTTTCTCTAATACAGAACATAAAACTAAACTTTATGCAATAAAAATGAACATAAGAATGAAAAAGATCAATAAGGTTAGGTCATCTTCTAAAATACTTCATACCTTAATAGCTGCTGATTTAAATGCCTCATTTTGACAATTTTCTGCAGATAAATCTTGCTTTGCAATATATTGGAATATACTTTCATTTAAGAAATTTGGAGCTGGACCACCCTGTATGACAGACATAACCATAGCCTCACCAAGTAGTCGGAAGTCATTAGCCATCAGTGCCATTGTGGAATCATTGGGAAATCCACGAGACATTAACTTCCTTTTCCTGCTTCTAACAATTCTACAAAAGCAACATTAATGAACATAAATAATTTTAAACACCACTGTTTTACAGTGATTGTGGAGGTTAAATATGAAAAAACATCAAGTTTACCTGTGAAGAACTCTCTTTTTGGTCCTCCATCATCAATGGCACATTCGCCAATAAACACAACCTTTAAGTTGTCATCAGGTTTGATCTTTGTAAGACGTGCTTGTTTAAAGTCGATCCATAGAAACTTTCTTCGAACATTTATTCTGACTCTGTCTTGCTTCAAAATATTATTATTCATAAGTTTTATAGACTCTTTCAACACAGATTTTATCTCCTCTGGACTTTTGTGTGCTTGTTTTTCTGATAATAATGATAGCTCAAAAACATCTTTTACAGAGCTCTCAATATTGCTAAGTACTGTGTCTTTCTTATGAGAAGTGTCATCAAGTAACCAGCTATTACATATGTCAGCATGTTCAGCAATATCTTTCACTGAAAATGGCAAGAAGCATATTGGACACTGTATAGCTGAACTAGTAGCTGCTGATGCCAATCCATCATCTGCTTCCGCATGCAAGTTTATGTCAGGTTTAGAAAAGTCATCAAATGAAGGAGTAGATGCCAATCCATTGTCTATTTTGCAGGAAAAGTTAAGCCTTGTTTGGATGATTCATCAAATGTAGGATTATTCATTATTGCAGATGTATTGGTAGAATGATTAAAAGAATCCTTTGATAAGTCAATAAAACAAGTTTCTTTATTGTTGTCAAATGATGTATTGATGAAACATGAAGTGCTACTGTTTCCATACCTACAAGCCCCTTCATTCAAAAAAGAATCGTCAGAGTCAGTGTCTGATGTAAAGTCTTCTGCCTTAGGCAAAGAATCAAAAAGAACATCTTTTCTTGTCGCCATGAACATTGTTATCCTTGAGTAGGATTTTCCTGAAGCCTTTTTGTACTGACTCAAGACAAATGGATCCGAAGTTCCAGGAATATTAACAACTTCAGAACCATCAGGGTAAAGGAGTGCATACTCACAATCTTTGACAAATGACCGCTCAAAAGCACTATACTTTTCAATTGCTGCATTTAAAATTACTGATGATGAAGCACTGGCTGAGATTTCAAGCGCTAAACGGCCACGAGCTGGCTTGAGTTTCTTTGTCTTTCCATCATATTTCATTAAACCTATTTGTATCACATGTTTCTCATCCACACTCTTCTTTGATTTTGATAAAAACGAAGATCTACTCTCGCACTTTCGCTTTTTGTATTCCGTAAATGTCAATACCTTTTTCTCGCCCGAATGAGCTTTGTTTAAGCCTTGTGGCGGGGTAGACGTAGTAAGGTGTGCACTGAGTCCTCTGACACTGTTGCTGGAAATTGAAATCCCATCACTGTTACCACTATTCTTCACCTTTTGTTGCTCCTTTCCGCAATGGCAGCAAAATTTTGCCCCTTCGGGATTCACGCCTCCACAAATGTGGCAGTACATTAACAAGTATAACAAATAATATTAAAACGCTTTTGGATGTTGATGTTCTTTATAATGATTCAACTTTAACATAGTTATGGTAATACTTCATGATATATTTGCTAAAGTACATTTATTTTGCAGAAACCGACTTAATTTGCAGCAACAGACTTAACTTGCAGCAACAGACTTAACTTGCAGCAACCGACTTAATTTGCAGCAACGGACTTAACTTGCAGCAACCGACTTAATTTGCAGCAACGGACTTAACTTGCAGCAACCGACTTAATTTGCAGCAACAGACTTAACTTGCAGCAACCGACTTAATTTGCAGCAACAGACTTATGTAAGTTGCATGTCCCTTGTGGGCCACCGTAATTTGTAGCAACAGACTTAACTTGCAGCAACCGACTTAATTTGCAGCAACAGACTTATGTAAGTTGCATGTCCCTTGTGGGCCACCGTAGAAATGCGAATTCAGCATGTCGAAAACTACAGAATACCGTTCATTAAATTTAGCACCGCAATGGTGGCTACGAAACTTTATTTCTAAGGACATTTTGATTACACAGGCAACGGACTGCATGGTCTTTCTTTGTATTTTTGATATTACATGATGTGTGAATTTTTGTCTCCTTTGTTTTTCCATCGTTTTAAAATGTATCTTTATATGTGGAGATGTTAAAGGCTCAGGAAAATTTTTTTTTTCTTTCTTGCAGTCAGATTGATAATTTTGTTGAACTTGCAAAACATTCATGATGACCCGAGTGCCAAGCTAGTGCAGTTTACATCCAAACACGTGATATTTGGCAAGTAAAATTATTATACAGTATGTTTTTATATATATTAGTTTCTTAGTGTAGTATATATGGTACTTCTTCATTTTTTTAATCTTTCATACTGTATATATTTACATACATTTTGTTACACCTAAAAATTAGCATTATTCGTTATAATTAGATTATCCAATTGAAATAAGTTGTATCAAAATTGAATCACCTGCTCAATGTACACATATATTAAGATATACATTTTCAATTTTTAATTGTTACCAGGTCATTACTTATGTTACCACTTTTCATAATTTCAATCAAAGAATTCATGATTTTATGCATGGATTGTTGTGCTATATGGTATCACAACAAATGAAGGTGCATTTTTCCAGCTGCACTGATAGCACATGCAAGGTGCATTGTAGTATGAATAAAAAATTCATTGCTAGTGATGAAAGTTGACAGTTCTTCTCCAGTTCTTCTCCATAAGCATGAAAATGGTTGTTGGAGTTGACAGCAATATATTTCTTTATGTGAAAATAGGATATGGATGGTAGCATCACAATTTTCGTTATTAGACCAAATTCTGGCTCTTTATGCTCATATGAATAACCTGTGACTACAATTGCTCCAACCATGTAATCATTCCCATTAATGTTAACCTTTTTAGGCCTGTTGTCTTACAGAAAAATACGGCATAGCATTAATATCAACTTGCAAAATCTATGCAAAATTTTGTCGGTTTTCTGCAATTGATTGGACTCATTTTGGCATGCCAGGCAGAAAACAGAACACAGCAAAATT